AAGGAACTAAGTGAAAGTTTCTTGTATGTACTTCTTTTTCAAAGGTTATTTTAACCCAGTATAAGAGTGGTTATAGCTTGAACTCGTGACTGCTATATCGGAACTAGTGGGTTGTCCTTCTGACTTTAAAAAGACCCGCGTGTAGAAACACAGCACGTAAAATTTCAAGGTTTAAAACCCTTTGTTGTGATGATGTGAAAAAGGGAAAATAAAGTATCATCTCAGGGGGACTTCAATTGAACCTATGATCAAAATTATGACATCTATCACCGAAACCCCTTGCAATGCGAACGTGTTTAAAAAATGTAATCAGTCAATCAATCAAAAACTTAATATTGTTTTTTATTTCTCTTTCATTTTAAATTACATCTTTATTTTTAGAATACTTAGTTTTTTATAAAGATATTCATATATTACAAGACACGTAAATAATTACTATACAGTTTTATATTGTGATATTTTCATATTGCATCTAGAACCATTTAAACGTTGTTTTTATTTTTTAACTCTTTTGTTTTGTCACTTCAAAGAAACAGAACTTCAGGTCCTCCTATTTTGAACTTAAAAAATTGACAAGAACGGATCTTTGGGAGTCCTGTTCCTTCAATTTTCACCACGCCAACCTGAGGGCTTTCAGCCTCAACAGGTTTAACTGCTCTCCCCCCGTCAGGTGCAGGGTAAAATATATAGTAAACAAACAATTTTTTAACATGAAAAAAAAGGTTTAACCTTCCTTTTTTTTTTTTGAATCCACCATTTGGGGGACTATCAGAACACAGGGGTTTCTAATGGATGAGTGTATCTTGTATGAATATATTTGTCTAAAGTACCTAAATAATTTTTTTGGGGGGGAAGGCTTTTTCGCTTTTTTTTTACGTTTTGGGTTTTTGTTCAAAATAAAAAAATTTTTTATGTAATTCCATTTGCCCGAAAATAATGACAGGCTTTTTATTTTACTTTTTTGTACGTTTTTCTAAAACCGTTTTTCCCGTATTGATTAGATATTAAAACATATATTTTTAAAAGTAATTTCGACAATACGGTTTTCAAATGTTTAAAATCGTAGTTTAAATACTAATTAAAAGTTTGGAATGAATTTTAAATATTTTGTTTCTTAAAAAAGTTACGGAAAGAAACATAACTATTCTTTATAAAAATTTTCGTTTAAAATTATATACAGTTTTATATTGGGATATTTTTAATTTATCGAACCATTTAAGCATGGTTTGATTCTTTTTACTGTTATTAATGTCACCAAAAAACTTGGGGAAAGGGAAAAAATTTCCTATACTCGTATTTTTAACCACGAAAAGTGAGGCGACAATTTCCCGTTCTTCAGACTTCCCCTCACGCCAACATGGGACTTTTTAGCCAAGCAGATTTATTCCGTTCCGCTCACTTTTTTATACCCGGAATCTCTTATATCAGTTTTAAAACAATTTTAAAAAATAAGAAAGATTGGGTTTTTTTTTTTTCGTTCTTTTTTTTTTTTTTTTTTTTTTTTAAATGAAATATGAGTGAATCTTTTACAAAAAAAATTTGTTTTAAGTCAAATCCCTACATTTCGGGTTTTTTTTATTTTCTTACTCTAATTTATTCAAAATAATAAAAAAAATTTTCCATGTAATTCTGTATAAAAAGATATAATCAGTTTTTATTTCACTTTTATGGAATTATTATAAAAATCCGTTTTCTGCTACATGGAATAGATTATAAAAAACGTTAATCTTATACGCTCTATTTCTGATATTATAACTAATAATTCAGTTAAATTATGTCTTAATTGATGGAGAAATTATTTTTTTGAAATATTTGCAGCATTGGTAGTTTAAATACTAAATGAAAAGTTTGGAATGAATTTTGAAACCTATTATTTTTGTGTGTGTAAAAGAGTCATTTGTTTAAATTACATCATAACTATAAAATTCTAGATGTATGTGTAATCTTGTACACTGGCGTAAGACCATCATTTAGACCCTATGTGCTACCATTGATTTCATTGTTTATCGTTTAACATCATCGATTCTGGTGACCGAGGTAGCCTAGTTGTCATGGCTATAGATTCATGGCCTATGTGTCCGGAGTTTGAGCCCTAGTGCCCCTTAGGGTCGTACTCGTCACTTGACCCTGCATCATCATCCCCAATGTTAATGAATATTCCCTCAACATCGATTCCGGTCAAAGAAAAAAAAAGTCAGTGTAGAAATTTCAAATGTTAAATTGTGTAAAATTGAAAATATTTTGACTAAACATAAGAATAATGTTAAATACAATAACCTTTAAAAGTTATTCCTTTAATAGTATTAATTATTTCATTAAAAAAAAAAGGTTACGAATCAATTCCAAAAGAATTAGGTAACTGAATTTATAGTAATTATTCCTAATATTATTTATTTCTTTATGTTGGTTTTCACATTAAAATAACCGTCCTATATTATTTTGAAAGAGTTTTTTGCCATTTTTATTTAAAAATGTAAACTAGTTTCTTTTTACAGTAACATATAAGGAAAGTGTTAAAGAAAGAGCAATTGGGGTGTTGTAACATGTATTTTCGAATTTAGATTAGAGTTAATTATACATCTAAAATTCATTTAAAAATTGCTGAAATTAAATTTTAAAAAGTTAAACAACTGTTTTTATTTCCTGTAATAAATTTTCTTTTGAGAGAAGAATACAATAAAATAAACTACTTGTCTGTTAACAAATGAAAGTATGGTCTGAAATTATTTAGAAAAGAAGAAAAATCTTTGTTTTTGCATTTAGGTTTAATGGATCTAAATCAAATGTTCATTTCTAACACATTATTATTTTTCATTTTTAATGGCAGATTATGAACAGTAATTAACAGAGTTCATCAATCTACCTAGTACATTCACCAAAAACTGGTATCTCTTTCTAGTGCAGTGCCAAATTGGCTGATACCAATCACCGCAGGTAATTTTGAAGTCCAGTTTCCTCCCTAGAGGGAGGCACCTGAGCTCTGACGATGCGAATCTTGTACTAGGATCTAATTTTGCCTAGGGACCCCTTGCCATCTTTACAAGTCGTATAATCATAAGACACGGCCACTGTCAATTTTCTGCATCAGGAATATCCATCGACTCCGGCCGGGATCGAACCCGCAATCTTAGATACAGAAGGTCAGCGACAAACCAACCACGCCACCCAGCCGACGTTTCTTCAGACATACTATTGTGAACTTTTTTTATGATTCTGTGGAGTTCCTAAAACTCGGCACTCGATAACCTGCCAGTCCGTGTAACTCGGCCACATTATTTCAGGTCGAAAAAACTCTATGGTCAGACCTGTTCAAGACCGTACTACTGCTATTTCAATTCATGAAAAAATGCCGGCAAATTATTAACATTTAGGACGCAGTCAAACTCCTAAGATATCGCATAAGGAGGGACTAAGGGCTGTATAAACTTTCCTTCAGTATTTTAAACAAGGTGCGTGGATAATGAACATACTGCTTCTTTTTCTTCTTTCACCAGATTAAACTGTAAAATGTAGAATGCAATGCGAAAGACAACAGGACGCATTACGCATTTCTTTTTTTAAAATGTAGCTATTTTTTGCAAAGTTATGATTTTAATTTTCACTGTATATAGCTTTATGCATTCATGAAGTATTTTTCCAAGGTGTGTCTAATCAGGTAAATTACTCCATACTATGTGTTTATTAATTTTCAATTTCATGCAGTAAATACTCTATGCCTTTCAAAAAGTACATACTTTTCCTATGTTTAAGGACATTTTAGCAGTTTTTTGTATTATTAAGCAAACAATACATACAAGTGCAGTCTAATATTTTATGGGGATACACCCATGTTTACTCTTTTTCCAGGCATTTTTACAAACTCGGCTACCCTGCGGTCCCTATTAGGCCGTTTTCGTGACTGTATACAATTTAAGTTAGCTCTCATTTGCTTTTGTTTAAGTAAGATTAGTAATTTCTTTGTTTTTTCTTGAATTAAAGAAAGCAAGTATAAATAACTTTTAGTCGGATAAATGATATAAATTAAAACATAATTTACTTATTGTTTTCAAGTTAAGAGAATGCTATTGCATTCTTTAGTTTAAGTATACGTCTTTAAATTTACTTCTTTTTTTTTTTAATGCTCTAACTGGAGTTGTCTTAATTAATGGGATACAAATTATTTAAAAAGTATTTATTTCTGGTAATTTATTCAAATTTCTTTAAAACAATAAAGCGTGATGTAATTTTCGATTTTACTTTTTTAAATTCCCCTTTTATATAATTCTTGAAATATTTCGATTATATATTTGTAAAAAATGCATCGAGTACTTATATATTTCTGGTATGATAAATGAATCAAGGCAACATTTTGATTTTAAAAAAAAGTTAAGAAGCTGGGTTTTGAATTTTGAGTCAGGAATTCTTAGGTTTTTGTTTCAAAAATCATGGTGAAGTGACGGAGACAATCTATCTCAAAATTTAAAAATCACCTCAAAATGAGAGCGTAGAATAGGGGTACATCTGACAGGTATTTCATGGGGACTTCAACTTGAGGATAATGAAGGGGATACTACCGTAAGATCAAAGCAAATTAGGATGAAGTAAAATGAATCAAAATATTAAACCTCATTTTTACAAGCTTTTATTTAACTTGCAGTGTAAAATGTTCGGGTGGAATCTTGCAACTCAATTTTAAAGCTGATGTCTTCAACAGATTGAGCTGAAACTTTGTATACACTTTTATAGAGTTTGGATGACAATGCACGTTGTGACTATTCCTATTCCGATATCGCAATTAGTTAAAAAGATATTAATTACAGTAATTTGTTCGGGTGGAATTTTGCAACTCAATTTTGAAGCTGATGTCTTCAACTGATTGAGCTGAAACTTTGTATACACGTTTAGTTTGAATGACAATGCATGTTTTGACGATTTATATTCCAATATCTGTAAACAAATAACTGTAACAATCTTGTTCAGGTGTTAAGGTGAGCATGTTTAAAATAACAAAGGTGTGGACCGGGGGCGAAGCTCAGATGGTAGAGCGCTCGCTTAGCATGCGAGAGGTAAGGGTATCCCTGCGCCTCCTATCATTATTTTTTCGTGTAAAATATTTTTAATATTCATTTGATTTGTACAACAAGAAATTTTGCAATACTTTCACTCTGCATACAAACAAAGTAAGCTATATTTTTACTGTTCTAGAGGGAACACTAAGAAAGGCAGATCTGTCAAACTATTTGTATTTATTTTGAAACATTCTATTGTTATCTATTTACTCGATTCTATTTTCTCACGTAACACTTTTAATTGACCTAGTTGCTGTAACGATCTTGTTCAGGTGTTAAGGCAAGCATGTTTAAAATAACAAAGATGTGGACCGGGGGCGTAGCTCAAATGGTAGAGCGCTCGCTTAGTATGAAAGAAGTACGGGGATCAGTACCCCGTGCCTCCAATTATCATTTTTTCGTGTAAAATATTTTTGAAATTCGTTTGATTTGTTCAAAGAAATAATTTACAATACTTCACTCTTTATACGTAGAAAGTATGTTATATTATACAAGTTTTTTTTTTTTAACTTCCAATGTACACTGCTGGCCACCGTAAATGCAACACGCTGAAGGAAGCATGCAAATAACATGAAATTCACAACATGTATTAATGGAGGTGAGATATGCAAATGATTAGAATTTCAGAACAGACACACATCACGTACGTCTGTGGCGCCACCGCAAAGCGCTATTTAAGGCTTGGAGATTTCGACGATTTCAAGTTCGGCAATTGTGCTTTTTTTTTGAAAAAACGATCAGTTATATCTCGTAGAAAACAGCGATCAGCTTTTGATCAAGTACCCGATTGACAGAGGAA